AAAACCATGGGGGTACTTTAATACCACCCAATAAAAAGAATACTAATGTATGTCAGATATTCATTGTTTTATATTGGGTAGAGCATGTTATGGTTAATAAGTGCCAGAAATTTCCAATCTCTAACTTATATGGTTACCATAGAAACAGTATTTATATCTCGAAATATTCTCAATTTGACCCCCTCCCAAATGTGTCCTTTGTTCTTAAAGTGAAATATTTCAAAATCTGTTTGGATTTTATGGCTCCTACTTTGTCAAAATTTGTAATATTATGTCTATACATGTATTAACACTAAAACACTTAAAAGTTGATATAATGATCCTATAAATCAATAATATTTATCAAATATAGTCACACATAGCTGCTTTCAGGGAAAAGTGGGCGTGGCACTTTTTGGTACTTGTGCGCTTGTTGCAGCATTAAATGAAAAATTCAGATTACACTAACAATAATTGACATTTAATTCAGTGTGTTTGACTGAGAAGTCCACAACTCATACAAAATGCTGTGGTGTGTATGTGTACTTGTATGTCTATGTATAAGTGCACATAAAAGAACACAGGGCTCCTTCAAGGAGCAGTTTCTGGGTCTATATTCCAGGATTAATTATGTAAATTAGGACCGTACATATATGGGATATACCAAAGAGGTATTGCTCACCTTCATTGGTGGTAAACAAAATAAGATAGCAATGGTGCAATTACGTTTTTGGCATAATTAGATTAAGGATTAAGTAATGTTTTCTCCATATCCATGGTTAATATTGCCAACAATCTCTTTGAAGAATCTGTATCTGTTATTGCTTTATACAAGGCACACACAAATCTACATTATCATCTTTGACCATGTAGTATTGATAAAATGGCATGATTTTGGAATAGCTTAGGCCTACTAGTAATACAAATGTCAATAATAGCTCTATTTTCAATGTGTCCCAGGCAATCAAGTCCAAATGCCTCAGTTCCTTTCATACAAATGTCACTTTTCGTTCCCCCTGGCCATTTTTTGGCATCAGCAATTTTGTTTCTTCTCCTGTCATGAACTTTATCATTGTTACTCTTCAGCTTATAATCTTAGGAAACTGTGTCGAGTAAGAAGTCTTCAAATCTCATTGATCTTGCAATTCATGATCGACTAAATGAATCAGGGGTTTCATTAGCAGCAGGCAACAGGTGATTTTCACAGGTTGTTTTCTCAAAATCACCTGTTGTCTTTAGGGACTTTTCAACTTTTCCATGTTAAATCTATGATTTCCATTAATTTTGCCTGTTGTTTTCGTTTATTTAGCCTGCTGTGAAAAATTCTAGTGAAACCCCTGTGAATATAAAGAACCTTTCTTTTCAAATGTTATAGTTACTGATCCTGTTATTCAGAATATATTGTATGAACATTCCACTAGTTCATTATGTCCTTTAAAACAAAAAAATGTTTTAAATCTATTTGAATTTAAAACAAATATTTGTAGTGACCCATTCATTTTTACAATGCATAAGATAAACAAAATAAAATCTGAAATCTGTACATTTTCTCGCCTTTTCAAATGTACCTATAGACTATTAGACCTTTTGCAATTTTAATGTTCAAAAATAACTTTATGTGGTCTAGTCTTGGCAGGGCATTCTGGTCATCTAGAGAGTAGTTTTGAAGTATTGATTTCACACTCTAACTAAGTTACAACTTGAGGCTTATTTGGCATTAAATTATTGTACCCGCATGATGAAATGTACATGATAAACCAGATATAGTATATTAAAAATACAAGGATGAGCGTGCACTCATTATATTACCCACTTAGGTCATGCGTCATCATTTCAGATGTGTTCAGTAATCTTTATGTTCGATTTTTCCATATCCATATCAGACACCCAGGCTATTTTTAGATTCAAGTGAAACTGATTACATCTATTTCATAGTTGAGTGAAAATCTATAAAAGTTTCATAGAGAATAACAAGCCCTGTGCTTATGCAGGTCAAATAGTAAGTGTTGATGAATGTCAAATGGTTATGAAATTTTATGATAAATAAAATAAATAAAAATGTAAGTGTTGACCTAATCAGCACTTGCAAAAACAGTTATTCTTTTAAGTAGTACTGTATGAAATATTTTGCAATGTGTCAAAGTATTTACAGCACATGACTCCATGGGTTGTGGATGATCTAATCATTCCATTCCTCTCATACTTGTTTCCATGATTTGTATACAATGTATTTACTTGGTAATATTTATAATGCCAGTGGACCCTGTACACTTGCGATTTCGAAAATACTTCAGCGTTGCATCCAGATGAAAACCCATTTAGAAGGAACTGTTTCTCTTGAGAGAACATAAATTGATGTGCAAATTTCAGAAAAAAGTAGAAAACGTATTATACACATTACATATAATTACACAATTGATTGCAAGCTCTTGTAATGACCCTGGTAAGGCTTGTCCAGGAGCTGTAGTGTAACGAGCCAGATACTAGACCAGAGAGGGAGTGTGCTAAATTGAATGCCCCATGCAGGAATCAAACCCAAGATCCTCCACTCATAAGACTGACACTCTACTGATTTAGCAAAAGGGACTAGCCACTACATCTGAAACTGTAACTTGCTATCGAGGGTCATTACACCATCCCCCTAAAGGACAACATCCCATTCTAACTGATTCACAAGGGTAATCCCTCATCTGGCACGCCCATTCGAGGAGCTTTTGTGTAATGAGCCAAATACTAGACCTGAAAGGGAGTGTGCTAAATTCAATGCCCTGTGCCGATATCGAACTCAGGACACTTCACTCACAAGACTGATGCTCTACCGATTTAGCCAAAGTCACTAACCACTACAGCCAAGACTGCAGTAACGATTTGCTATCGAGGGTCATTGCACCATGGGCCATGATTACACTATTTATTGCCAAACACAATATACCTAGGAATTGACATCACAAATAACTTACGCTGGACTACACATATTCAAACTATTGTATCCAAAGCCAATAAGGTGCTTGGATTTCTCAGGCGCAACCTCCATCAATGCCCTGAAAAAGTGAAGGCTCAGGCGTATAAGTCACTAGTCCGGCCGAATTTAGAGTATGCCAGCTCGGCATGGGATCCATACCGACAAAAAGATATTGATATGTTGGAACAGGTACAGAGAAGAGCAGCCAGGTTTGTAACCAAATGTCACTCAAGGGAACCAGGCTGCGTCACCAAAGCTCTTCAAGACCTACAGTGGGAGCCACTGAAGGAGCGTCGAGAGGCTGCTAGAGTTTTCCTTTTCTACAAAGGAAAGCAGAACCTAGCAGCCATCGACGTGCCTCCATACTTCCGCCAACAGATCAATACCAACACTAGGTTGTATCATCCTTCTAAGTTCATACAACCATCAACTAGAACGGATGCATACAAATTTAGCTATTTCCCTAGGACAATAGCTAAATGGAACACTCTACCTGGTGACATCTTAGACTGTGACAGTCTAAGTACTTTTAAATCATCATACTATGCCTATGTCAATAACTGCAATTAAATAGGTGTGTTTTTAATATAGATCTATGTTTTAATGTAAAGGGTCCCCAGTGCACAGCAACAAGCCTGCACTACTGGTAAAGAGGGGTGATGTCAACGCGGTAGCCTGACAGTCTCCCCAGGTAAAATGAGATGTTAAGGTTCAGCTGGAAAGTAACATTTTGGTAAAAAATTGCTATACCTGCACATGTTATTTTCTGGTACATAATTAAGTATGAAGGCATGTGTGCATTTCCTTGCTTTTTTCAGGAAAGTATCATTACACTGTCTACTTTTAGTAAACCTGGAAACAGGTCAATGGTAGCTCCTGTGTTGTCTGGAAACTTTGAAAGAAAATTTGGAAAAACAGGAAGTGTGAAATATCAGAATTCCCTGGAGTTCCCTTTGAACGCCTACCAGATATTCTAAAAGAAGACAATGTAATGATACTTTCCTGAAAAAAGCAAGGAAATTGATACATGCCTTCATACTTTATTTTGTACCAGAAAATAACATGTGCAGGTATAGCAATTTTTTACCAAAATGTTACTTTCCAGCTGTACCTTAAGGTCTCATGGAAGTTAACAGGAAATGACAAAACAGGAAGTGACAATTTTTGGGCATTTTTAGACATTTTTTGAACAAAGATAACAGAGTTCACTTTTGACCTCCAGTCAATTCAACTAGTTCCAGATACCATTTACAGGTCCAAGATCACAATGTTTATGGTCAGAATGACCCTAAATATCATGAAATAACCTTTTCAGCCCTATGAAAATGTGACTGAAAAATAGCTAAAAGAAGGAGGTAGGAAAGGTCACTGAACAGAATCTTTTGAATTTTTCAGAAAATGTGCCCAATATATTGCTCTAAATGGTACAATCTTTGAAAATTTGATATCATTCATAGAAAGAGAAAAAAAATGAAAAAACTGATTTGAAAAGCGATCTATTTTCCTTTTTATGACCGCCATTTTTGTTTACGACAATTTTCTAAAATTTCAAAGATTGTATCAGTTAGAGCATTATATTGGGCACATTTTCTGAAAAATTCAAAAGATTCTGTTCAGTGACCTTCCCTAGCTCCTACTTTTAGCTTTTTTTCAGTCACACTTTCAAGGGACTAAAAAGGTTATTTCATCATGTTTAGGGTCATTCTGACCATGCACATTGTGATCCTGGTCATGTAAATGATATGTGGAAACAGTTAAATTGACTGGAGGTCAAACCAGAACTCTGTTATCTTTGTTCAAAAAATGTCTAAAAATGCCCAAAAATTGTCACTTCCTGTTTTGTCATTTCCTGTTAACTTCCATGAGACCTTAACCATAGATCTATTTTTAAATGTTAAGGTTTTAAATTATATTCTATTCAAATTCTATCACTGTTAAATTATATATCTGCTTTATATGGGCTTATTAGCCTTTTGCAGATTATTGACATAGACATAGACCTATAAATAAATAAATACATGTACATAAATAACAACAACAACAAATTATAGGAGCTTACCAAAAATGATATTCGTCCACATGGAACTTCACTATCTCTCTGTAGACTTTATTTATGAGAAAAGGTGCTCTATTGCTTCTTGGATGTATCTGAAAAAATAATGTATAAAGAATGTAGACTAGGCATTAGCTTGCAATTATTGAACCTGAATACTGAGAATTATTCAGCTTCTGATTCTGAACACTTGTAGACTTTTTTTATATTTAGACTGTAGGCATACAAATAATCGCTTCCCAAAATTCAAAATAATTATTATGCATTGCTTCATTGATCAGGGTATAACTTACCTTTCATTTAACTGAAGGCAGAAAATGGATCTGTGAGTTTATGTTCAATTCTTTGTTTAATTTTTCAAACCCGGAAGTAAGCCGGAAGTACAACCCATTTGTAATACGTTGGACTCATCGATGGTAAAGAGTTATAAATCACCGCCAAATAAATATACCATAGACACTGTTAGATAGAACATATATCATTTATATAATTCTGTCATATATAATGATTTTATTTAGACTTATGACGATAAATAATATGATTGTAAAGTCAAAATAACGACAACACGAAGGCCGCCATCTTGCTTCCAATAGCAACCGAGAAAACAGTTTTCATTTTTTTCTATTGAATTGAGGACTAGAGGATTAAATTTATGTCAATAGAGTGAAACTCCATCTTGGATTCAAGCTGATGATCAGGACTAATTAAATATACACACAGGTACGTACACAGGATAATATAACAAGGGATATCACAGCATGGGGATTGAAAAATGGACTTGAAATTGAATCAATTCTGAGTGAATGCAAACCTGAAAGTGAAAGAGAAGGTTACAAAGAATTTTTAGAATGCTTTATAGATCTAACTCAGCTGATAAAGAAACAATGAGTTTTGGAAAGTTTAGTCATCTGAATTTTCTAAAATAAAAGCAAACATTATAGCCAGCTTTGATTGGAGACTAAATAAGCTTCAAGTTGCATGAACAGACATCATTCATTTATAGATCTAGGCTAGATCTACTGTTCCTTTTACATGAGCAATTTCAGCAGATTACCTTGATTTGCAATTTGAAACTCACTAAAATTTATTTGTGATTAAGAATAAGAGCTCATGTTGGCATTAGTTTTAGATGGGGAATATTCTAGGGAGGTTTTGCCATGTGATTTTCGAAAATAGAAATCTATAACCTGCCCACAAACAGTAGTTGGAAATGACCCTTGCGACATTACCTATTCTTCAAAATCATCTAAAAATTAGATGACAAACAGACAGAAAACTAAAATATTAAATTAAAATGAAACTTTCTTTAAGAAGATCCTCCTGAACATTCATTAAACGTATTTTGATTTATCATTCAGAAGTGCAATAGAGAAGAGGGAAGATGTATGATCGTGCTGAGAGAAAATTTGGCCATCCCAAGGGCAGCACAGGGATGACAGTTGGACCTGGAACCTATGATGCCGACCTTCCAACACCTGCCAAAATAAAATCAGGTAATAAGCCATTGAAAGCAAAAATACAATGAATATAACCAACTGTGAATTAATTACAGATTCTAATGAGAATAAAAATGATGATGATGATGTATCCCACATGTACAATGTACATGGATGTTTGGAATGGAAGTCATAAGAATTAGTTTTTTTTCTAATTTTAGATGGATATGCTCCATTTGCATCCATGACAAACAGGGAGACATTCTTCAACATTGGTGATCAGGTAATTGCTGCCCCAGGTCCAGGGCAGTATGACCCAGGATTTGCCCAGGATGCCATAAGAGGAGGCAAGACACTTGGCAATAAGGAGAAGAGGTTCAAAGAATCTGCCACATTCACCCCAGGACCAGGGATGTACAACATGCGTACTGAACTTGGCACAAATTCTGCACCAAGTAGATTACAGAGTCAGAATGGCAAAAATGGAGGAGCGGTAGGTATTCTTTCATGTCAGTTCAGCACCAGCTCCCCTGCCTGTTCAAATATACAATCCATGAATACGATATGTACTTGAACTTGTATTGCTGTATAGACAGATATGTTCATAGACTAATATTTGAAATTGAATGCCCCTGGAAGAATCTGATACACTGCATTGAATAAAACTCATAATAGGGCCTCTAGGAAGACCAGTTTTGTACTGATAGAACTACCCAGAATAAATATAGTTTTCAAATCAAATCAAATCAAAAAAATGTAATTCATGGAATCAATAATATTATTTATAGAATTTGCACTCCAAACTGAATGTTCAACAGTCTGATTACAGCAACAATGCTATAGGGATATCCATTGTTGCTAAATATTCCAAATTGGACTCAGTTTTCTTTCTAAATTTTGCCACTTCTCCTTTTATATATCCCCCCCCCCCTGGGCTCACTGCTACAGTAATGCTCCAGTTTTCTCCTTATATTTATCATATTCTCCTTATATTTCCAGTTGATGGCCAACAGAGTAAAATTTCAGCGTAAGCCTGATGCTCCGTCAATCCCATTTCCTGGCCAATCTTACGGCTTTGAAGAAAATGAAGATGGAACTTTAAAGAAACAGGATCCTCCAAACAAAGATAAATCAATGGGACCAGCATTTTATAATCCTGCTCAGGTGTGTATTATAAGTATATAGAATTGATTACTGGGTTTATCCAGAGGGAAGATACCATATTACAACTAAGGATAAACCTTATATAAAGTATAGACCAGAGGATGACCCTTTTATATCATGATAATGAACAAATAAAAATTGACAATGAAAAGAAATGTGACAGGATGAAATACATTTAAAGTTCTTTTTATCTCTGGGGATGGATGTATGCTTAATGTATGTTGGGCATATAGCAAAGAAACTGTATGTCATTTTATCAAAGTGCCTAAAGCACCTAATATGGTAATCAGAGTTTAAATAGAATTAAATGAAAAATTAGAGCAAGATATTGATTAAATATATCAGTCACTCACAGTCCTTCTTGGTTTATCCAGTATTTTTCAAAGTTAATGATTTCCGTGACTTTCAACTGGAAAACCATCCAGTAAGAATGTAAAATATGTTTTGGGTTCTGTTTTATGCTGTACATTTATTGAACACACATTTGTTAAACACAGGTGTTCAGAGAAGTGTTCACTGAATTTTGCTGTATATTTATTGAATACTTGCAGGAGGATACAAGAACTACAAAAACATACAAAGGTGTTCACTTTGGAAAGTTATCTTCAAAGCGTATGGACTTTAACGGCAAAGTTGGCCCAGGACCTGGCGATTATGAAGCATTTAGTAAGGAAGTAGTTGCCCCAGAAAATGTGAACATTAATGGTACTGGGGGTAGTAAGCGATATGATGCAAAGTTGCCACGCTATCATGAATGGGTTGTGAACCAAGAAGAGAAGAAGGCTGTTCCAGGGCCAGGGAAATATGAAGTTAAAGGTGTATTTGACCCCAGCCCCCCTAAGGTGAACACAGAAGGAATTGAAGTGGAGCATCCACCATTTCTATCACAATCTAAGGTATGTACAAATTTTCATCTGTATTATTGGTTTACTTAGGAAGGAGGTCTATTGACATTTATTTAATTACACATTGTGGGACCTTCATATTCATATCTATTAAAAGGTGCCAAATAGTGTGTGTTTCAAGTTTCAAATCATGGAATTATCTCCACAGCAATAGATCAAGTGCAAGTCTGCAACTAACCAGTGTTTCGCCCAATTGATAATTAAAAATATTTATACCATCCTGTTGAAAATCTGTTTGGATCATGTTTAAAGGATTGAAAATGGAGATATCAAACAAGGTAAAATTAGGGTTTTGTTCCCTGTAAAGAAACTGAGAATTCTGATTAATTTAATGAATTAGTATAACTTTTGTTTAAAAGATGGCAACATCTGTTATGTATCTTTCCCCGTTTCAAGATTGAAATTAATCGATTGAAAGATGTCACTTTTGTAGTTGAACCAATATTTGGTATCAATGTCCGATCAATGGACAATACAAGTTCTTAACTTGTCTCTATTTTTTTTTATCAAATTCATAGATGCAAAATTACCATTAATCAACAAAACTAAAATTACATAAAGCAAGAAAAATTCATATTTTTTGCAAACATTTTTCAATTTTGTTCTAACAAAGCAAATCTCTTCTATTGTTTGCTCATAGAACTCAGAAACAGTCATGTGACTCATGCCACAAAAGAAGCGCAATTGACAATTGGTATTATACAACTTTGTGTAATTTAATTATTTCAAATGTCATTTTCATGAAAATATTGAAATAAAGACAATTCTCAGCTGAGGATGGCAATGTGACAATACAACAGCATTGATAAGAATATAAGATTATGTATGAATCATAATTCTTATGTGATAATTCAAGATTCTGATGACTTTCTGCCGTCCATTCTCAGATTATTTCTGTATTAATATTTAATACCGAAATTAGTCATTGTTAAATACATACCCTTAATTACTGACGAACGATTATTTTAGCCTCAGGCAATTATTGGAGAACAAACTGTGTTTTTAAAATCTATATCCTTTTGTAACAATGTGACACATCATGCTAGTTCAATATTTGAGCTCAAAGGAAACATTTTCCGATGATATAAATGGAAGACATAAAGATTATGTCCATTTATGTCCATTTGTACTAATGGTCGTTTGTTATTTTGTTTCAATGTTTATTTTTTCTTCGCGGCAGTATGCTGAATTTAAAAGCATTTACCTTTCCTGGTTAATGTGTTAAATGTTTTGTGAGAGTAATTAAAACAAAAAAAAATCAGATTTCATTGTCTTCACAAATCTATATTTCCATAAAACTGAGGAAAATAATTCTCTAATATTATTTCTGGGCAAATAAAGATGTTATATCTTTAATAAGATAATTGAAATGAACTGAACTCCCCAAAGATAGTGAATCAGTAATAATGTAACTAATACATACACCTATCCATATGGCTAATAGAGTGAAATTTTATTAACTTTGTTTCTTATTACACATTTGTTATCTTGTCACTGAATTTCAAAAAAATATATTGAAATTCAATCTAGGTAACATTGCACTGTCTTGAATGATTTTGATTGGTTGCCAGAATTTGTATATGGAAAACAATATTAATTTGATATTACATATCATGGCAATTTTTAGTTTCTTTTTTTCATTTGTTGTTTTTGCCTTGGTGATGCATTATATGTCATCAAATAAATAAAATTAATCAGGATTAAATTTAAAATCTAAAACTGTTCAAACTATTTTAAAATCATTCTTAGGTTATATCATGGTTATATTTTGGTGTTGAATTTCAATGCATACAGATATAAAATCATTTTATTCATTCCATATATCATAGTGTCATTTCATGTATAGACTTGCACATATTTGTCATTTCATGAAAATGTAAAAAGAGAATGCCGTTGCAACTTGCATTTAATTATGAGAAAGAAATAGATGCCACATGTATCAGCTATCAGGGTGTGGTTATAATTGTATTTCTGCTTGTGTTACAATATATTGCTTATATTGTTAATTCATCTGCTAATGTGAGAAAACGATAATTTTAAATGTCAGGTATAAAGATATCACGTTCCAGGTCATGTTTAACATTTTTAATTAGTTCATTAGCCTTCATGTGAGAACCTGTTCATTTACATTTTGGGGGGTCAGTTAGAAATTAAGTTTTAAGGCAATGTTGAAAAAATTAATCAGGTCCCTTTTGTACAAAATATAACAAGATGTTCATGTAACATATGCAAGAATGACAGAATCTGCCACAAAAGTGAGCACAAGTGAATAGATAATTTAATGAAATAAATTAAATAACATAATATTGATCATATATATTCACAATTGTAGAGATTTAACCCTGGCAAGTCTGCTGGTCCAGCCCCAGGGACCTACAATGATCCTCGTCATGCCCTTGAAGGGTTAAAGCGCATCACTGGCCTCAAACGCAGTCCATTTGGCCAGACGTCAACCCGCTTTGACGGTGAACATCATGTCAAGAAAACTCCAGGTAAAAATAAATAAAAAATATATAGTGTAAATACAATTTTGTTCCGATTGGTCAATTGAGGCTTTTATTGACCAGTTTTTCTACATGCACCAACTGGGAAGCACTTCTCACGATCAGAAAACATTTTGTAAAAAAAGTTAATATCATCACTGGTGCAGGAACAAGGTATAAAGCTATAAAGCATGTTTAGTGGGTGGATCAGGCATCAATGTGAGAGAAATGATAACAAAGAGATAAAACAAAGAGAGTGTGACTGAGCTTACGTTAAGGTCTTCTCCAATGATCAGGTGTCACAGGCCTGGGGGTAAAATCCATTTTGCCATCACTTCATCCCCTCCCTGAGCTTATTTGCTCTTTTATAGTATTCCCCCTTCGGTTTTATCAAAATCAAAATGACGTGTTAAGATTCCCTCCTTTTTGACAGTTTCAGCATGTTTTTGAAGGTAAATGTTATTTTTTGTAAGGGTATTTACCCCTAGGGCATAGGGAAACTGGAAATAAAAGAGAAAATATAGTTATCATAATTATAGGGAAGATGCTGCTATGAGCCATTAGTTAATCAATTTTTAACAATAGAATATTACTAAGATGAATTAGGAAATCTTTTATTTGAAGATAGAAACACAATTTTGTCATGTAATGATAACAAAAGCACCAAGTCATTGAACAAAAGGATGCAAATATAGCAAATTCTTATTAAGTGAACACAACGTCGGAACCAGCAAAATAAAGAGGTGTTCACTTAAAAAGTGTATTATGATGATAGATATACTAAATAAAGAATTAGCATTTTTGTTAAGTTATAGCTTGGGACGCTGGACATCAAAAATCAAAATTTGAAATGGAATAAGATGTATTACATTTCAACATTACGTTTACTGTGTTGGAGCTTGTATCATTGCAAAATTCACAAAAATGTCCAACTTGGGGTTCAAATGTTACCCTGGCCAGTTTAGATAAAGCTATCTGTGAATTGATAAACTCTGATAAATTATAAAACACCAAATTATTCCTTTTTCTGATCTTTATGAAATCAACATTTATTGAAAAAAAACTGAATAGATGGTGATCCATTATAATAATCTGCCAAGAATTCCACATACACCGCAGTCTATGTTTTCTTAATTTTTAAAAATTACAAATGAAAATGTCAGCTTGATCAATCTTAACTTGCTCTACATATTGAGGTCTTAGATCAACTGAGAGTAAAGGGTGTGAAGTGTTTTGCTAAAAGCATTCCTGAGGAGTCATGTCAGAGTCAAGTCAAACTACATCCACTATAAGTGGCTGAGTGGTCAACACATGTTCACCTATTTCCCAATCACCTTTTAATCCATTTCATCAACTGTCATATTTCCAGCTTCTAGGCATTGCTGGAGATTTCGGCTATTACCTAAAATAGGTTAGGGGTTCTATAGTATAGTTGTTTTATATGGTATCTGGGTTTGGATGATCCAAAACTAAATTGGAATAACCTTCGCATACTTTCACCAGTGCGCTTCAAATTTGGTGTAATTTCATTCATTTATCAATTTTGGACTCAATTGTTTCATGTTGACTTAAAACAAAACAGCAGAATGTAATTTAGATAATTCCAAATGGGATGGTTACATACCACAAGTTTTACAGTCATAATTTTGCGATTCCAGTATTGGAAATAATTACAATTACTCCGCCAAATGCTTGACTCAATATTTGAACAATGAGATAAAGTCAATTGTTTCTTGCTAATCCTTGAGCCATTATATTGTGGTCAATTTCCAAGTACACTGATACCCCTGTTCTAATGACTACTCTCCAGTAGAGGATTGGGTTTCCCTTGTCATTAAATGACTAATTGATAAAATAATTAGCTCATCAAAGGTTAAACCAGTCTTTACTCCCAGAAAGCCAGAAAGTACCAAGACATTTTTATGATTGTTATCAGGGATAAAGTTTCAAAGTTTTGTTATTATTAATTATGGCAACAAGATGATTCAGATTTTTTGATTTTTTCTGATGCAAAAAATGTGTAAATTGAATCTCTTATGATGTAACACAACTTTTTTGTTTACCGATGATTCACACCGTGTTTTTACATGTAATGCGAAGGAATTTTCATCCATCCATGTGTACATGTCTCTGTTCTGTTAATTAATGCAGATGTATGTTTACAACAGACTGGTGATACGTCTTGGAATTGTCAAAAACAATCACCTATAATGAGCTGCTTTTATGCAAGTACATAAAGGAATCTGGAACAATTAACAAACCCTCAAACAGTTGTTAGTTTTATGGATGTCAGTATTTACTCTGTGGTTTCACTTGACATTTGACATGCGTTTTCGTTTAATGTAGCTTTTTCATACCTTTAATCTATCCCGTTAATCTAAATATATTCTATATTATATTTTCTAACGCAAGTTAGCTGATCAGATTTATAGAACAATTTATAAAAAGAGTTTACAAATAACCAACCAAAATGTCATTTTTATTTTATAATCATGTGGGCAAATGCTTAACATTTTAATTCAGGCATTTAATAACGCAGATGCGAGTAGGTAGTTACCAGTTTGACCACCAGGTGGCTCGCTCGGGTCAGATAGCATGGCGGGTATAGGAGAAAGTCCCCTTTAACTTAAATTACATCTATTTTAGTGGTTCAATTTTGATATAACCCTTGTGTATCCAATAGTTATGCAAATTAAAATATGTCCAGTAAAAGAAAATTATATTTGTCAAATTTGTTATTTTGTAACATGGGGTCTATGGGGAATCAACCCGAACTAGAAGTCACATTCTCAAAAAAAAATTAAATTTTCAAAGTTGATAAACAATTTTCGAAACCATATTTCTAGATGTACATTTACATGTAGAGTTCAAATATGACATCACTTAAAGTCTTTGACTGAATTTTGAATATCTAATGACGTAAATCAAGATTATTTCTACTCGCATCTAGTCTATTTTCACAAAGTTCTGATTTTCCTAGTGTCTTAATGAATGTACTCAACAATGATAAATTATTGATTTGTAACATATAAAATTAATGATGCTAATTTTACACAAGGCCTTTAAAGCATCATGAAAATGAAATCAAAGTGTTTTTTAGTAGTGTACATAGATGCAATGGGATGCATGCATGGCTTTGTTCACATGAAAGTGTATAATTGATAGCTTCCAGAAAGTGGTGGATAGTTCCTTGTGGACAACATGAATGGCAAATAAAAAAATATCAGTCATTCACTTAGTCATGCCTACACAAATACATGATAATTGGATGGATTGTAACAATGTCGCAGCTTGTAGTAGCATTTACAAATATCTACCTCTTCATGTTTCGCTAATTTTAAGTTTTGCGATTTGTAGCAAAGATGTCATTCAAGCCTTTTTAAAAAATATTTATAAGTCAGTTTTGTTAAATCTGTGGAGTAGATTATGAAATATGACTATAAGCAGTTACAGTCCAGAATTGTTTCACATTTTAACATTAGATGTTCAGAGGTTTTGAAAGTGGGTCAACTGAACTCAAAAATGGGTCAAGTTATTAATGGTCAGTTTTTTCCATGTTAGTAACCTTGGGTCATGAAATAATACTCTAAATATTGTACAATATTGTAAAACTTCTGAAAATGCCTTAAAATGCTATTTTTAGGTCCCGGGACATACAATGCTCCAGGAATGGGGTCTGAAAGTATGAGGAGAGCTTACATTGAGAGCACACGACGTGGTGTGTTTGGCACAACCGCCATCAGAATCAACCCAATCACCAAGAAGGAGGAGAATGACCTTCCTGGCCCCTCACATTATCAACCCAAAGAGAAGCCATTTAAGAGCCGTTATGAACAACTGAATGCTAATTTTGCGTCATTGTCTTCTCGTCTCACTGAGCAACCAACCATTGTCAAGGTAATGGCTTGTTTATTTTCCATTTTTACAGTTCTTTATGTACAAGAAATGATCAATATATAGGGAACTGCTTTAGAAACTCTCAGATAGTACCACTCATACGGATGAATTTTATTTGTTTATTTATTGCTTTATTGTTTCTGGTTCTATTCTATTGAGCTCAGTTTCCAATACTGTACAGTAATGCCATCTATATCTGACAAGTCGTACTAGACTATCTCCTCTCAAATCATAGTCATACAGCTTATTTATCAAAGGCTCTTGAATAAATGCATTTTTAGCAATCTCCATCCAACTACTGCAATTTACTTGATATCTAAATTGAATTTTTAAGATAGCAATCTCAGATTTGCGATGAATGTCAAAAATCTGAAAAACAATTTCACTTTTTGGCAATTGATTTCAAACAGAAGGCTACCAGACTCATTGCAATTACTGCTCTCAATAGAGTCCAAACATTTTCATTTTATATTTGCATTTTATTAGGTCATCGTCTTATTGGCTTTGACATACAAAAGAGATTGCCGAATCATAAACTTGAACCAAAAGTGACAATCCTGGGAAAATTGACACCAGTATTTTTCTTGTATGTTTGTTGTCAAATTATTATTTTAAAAGTCTAATGCAAAGTGACTGGTAAAAGGCAAGGAACAAGTTCTTTGTTGAAGTACATGACATGTGGTTCATGTGCTAAATAACCCATTGTCAACTTATGACGGGTCCCATGAAAATATTATGAGGTTACTTTTAACCTTTAATGACACTAAAAATATTTAGCTAGTTATACAGTAGTAGATAAAGGGAATTTTAAATTGTTTTGAACATTTTTCAATTTGGTTTGATTCCAGAACATTTTAATTAAGATATTTTCTTGTCAGTATTTTCGTGTGACATGTGTGGTATGAAGTGGAAGATGGATGAATGTTGTAATGTCAACCAGCACTAGGGCCAGGTCAAGTGGATCGTAAACAGGCGCATTTTTGGTTATTTGGTTTTTCTTAAAATGGTCACCTTTTAGTCTCTTCTCCCTATCAGTAAACCATCTATTGAAGTTTCTCCAATTTTACAAATTAATTCCCTGATCTTGAAAAATGAATTTAGCATTGACCAAATTGCCTTGATTCTTTTTGACAAAACTCTGGCTGTTTTATAAATTGTATCCCTCCCTCACTCTTACTTATGCTGTTCTATGAATTCAGTCCCCTCCCTCTGATCCCTTGGTCCCCCACTCAGGTTGATACATCTCCTTAGTAATTGAATGCAGCATCATAACACAAAGTAAGAGTCATCTCAATAATCTATATATCCTGATACCCGATCTAGCTTTTAGTCAGCGTATCTGGAACTTTTCAGACAAATCCGCAAACGTTTATTTGACTTTTCGCAGTTTTTCTTGGAGACAGGGTGAATAGGAGATCCTGCATTCACAATGTTCAGTTATACTTTAACTGTTTAACTTTGATAGGAATGTTTTCAAGTAATTGCATTATAAATTTATCATGACTTAGGATCTACTTTAGGGTTAATGTTAAATGACGATTTTTGGAGCTTGTTAATTTTGGATTAAGTGTGATGTCATAGATCGAGATATGATTTTGTGGCTTTTTGACCAAATGTTATAGGTTGCTAGCATATGACTCCATTGACAGAAAGACAATGTACAATATTGCAGAGTATTAAAATCAGATTATGATGAATAGAACAAAATTACTTACTTCTATTAGATAGTTTACAAAAGCCACATGGCCCGATTAATAAAGATGATAAAGATTACACATTCACTTTTGAAAACGTTCAATTGTGGTCATGATTTATTTGATTTCGAACAACATCTTGCTATTTCCTTTCTCATTTCCCCGTGTGTTCTTGTTAATCGTGTATCATTTGTAAAGTAGTTTGTTTGACATTTGAAGAAAAACAGAAGGATTGTTATTGTATTTGTGTAACGTAATGCATTTCTTATGACCATATATGATCTATGTTACGGGTATGTTACAGATTAACCCCTCAAGATCCATCATCCTCTTATGACATTTTAAACCTTACATTGTTTCGCATTGAGTTCATCTACCCCTTTGGAATTGTTATTATTGAATAAAGGTGGATCTTATTACATGAAACTATCAAGATTCCTGTTTGATTTCATTCTAAAAATTTGAATTTAATTTTTTAGATTTTATATCCATAATGTTTCCACCATTTGTCATTGAGATAAATGGTATTCAGGAATCAGTAAGTGCAAATGAATATATTTGCTCAGTGTCTGTGATAAGTTCCCTGAGGGGGTGTTGCTGTGGAGGAAGAAAAAAATTATGACAAGATTCCGTCATATGTAAATCCATCAGGATGCTAAGGGGGTTAATATCCCATTTGCTACAAGTGTTTCCCAGCATTCCTTGGCTAGTGGCATTTTTATCTAGTTACCCCGAAGTCACCCCTAATCCTATAAGCTGTGATGGCACAATAATGATGCATATTTAGGCCTTTTCTTGTTTATTGATTCGGTTGCCATAGTTATTATGCAATTCATCATATAACCTCATAGCAGAGAGCATGAAATCTCCTTCCACTCATGAATGATATCTCTATATCTTTCTAAATGGACAAATCATGGATGAATGCTTTCTCGTGGGAAGCAATTTATGAATTGTAGAAATTTGGTGTGGAACTAATTTATATTGTGGAGTATAAATGACCTCTAGTGCAATTACTTACCCAACTCTTCATTCATAATCCCCCTCCCACTCATTTCTCAAGGTGCTTGCTTCACTCTTTCATGCCAAAATTACATATCAGATATTGTATATTGCCAAGTTGAATAAATCTGAGATATGAAAAACTGAAGATTTTATGGCATTAAGGTGATATATTTGGCCAGTAATCAAGCTCTAATTGCCAGTAATTAATCCAATATTCATCCAGAATTGCTTTCATCTTTCAATTAAGCAAGGTGACATATTCACAAAGTGTTTGTGATCCCAGGTAAATTAATTACAGGTAGTTATTAGTTGTGGTAAGTGAAATATTGTAGGTAAGTCTCATGTAGACATTAAAGGGGATAACAGTCTGGAGGTATGCTTAATGAGTTATATCATTAGTCAAATCCTAAGTATAATGAGTCTCTTGTCTCCTGTGCCATTAAATTCAGATTTAGAAAAAAATACAGGAATATTTACAAAATAATTTTTTCCCTTAAAGTGATTCTTCATTTTTCAAATGTCTTAATAAGAACCAATTAAGCCTCATATATTTTATAAGGTTATAAGTTATTCACTGCTTCAGTTCAAGCTGAAAATAAATGACCTGATAAGCCCTACAGAAATATAAATGAAGTTTTGAAAATGTGGACTAATCTTGGAAGGCTACCCACATGGCTATATATACAAGCTAAAAGATCTAAGAAAGTTTATCTGATAAAATCTACTTTAATCTAAAAGTTTATAAATGTTTGGCTTAATTTGAAGTCTATAACTGAGAACTGGGTATGTCATCTGTCAAAAAAAACAATACCAACATTTTGGGCTAAATGCTTTCTTTTTTAACCATTTTGATATTTGGCTGATAGAGGAATGATAATGTCTTGCCGAAGTTGCTTTTATAGAACGTCATCCATGTGTATCAGATTTTATTTATTCTGTAAAATGTGGACAAATATTCCCACTTTAGATATCTTACATCCTATGTTTGTAATGTAAGACTTTAGTGTTTTTCTGTCTGATATTGTCTAGACCACTTACCATACTTAACCTTTGATTGTCATGATTCAATGTGTAATATTTATGACAACATATTTCCAAATTAGAAATTGATCTCAAGTATTTGAGAAAACCAGGGAGACTTGTGGTTACTTTTATACTGGATGTAAAAAAGTTAAAGTTCTTATTTATTGAGTTCTTCACAACAATAAAACACTTTCTGAGACTTTGAGAATTCAAATTCCGAGTAGTTTTTTCCTGAAAAAAGGCTTTGGAAAAAGTATAAGTTCACACCAAATTTCATTTTTATTAGGCATTTTTTAATAAAAGAAATTACAAATAAGATCATTCACTAGTATAAATCAATTGTAGATACAGTAATTGATACATTTTATTATTAACATGCCTCATGAAAGAGGCAATGTTCATTATTTAGCTATACCATACTTTCAAGATACAAAAGAAATTGAGAGAAAGAAAAATGATGCTTTCAATGTTTAGAAAAATACAAGTTCTTTGGCCAGAGGCTAAAACGTTAACTCGATTATCATCCATTATGGCGTTCTAATGTTTTTCTCACTATGAGCTGAGGTATCCAAGCATCGTATTATGTAATATAATATGTTTTATTGATTCTTTGTGTTTTACGTCAGAAACCTTTCTCAAGTTCTACAACATTTATCCCTATTCTGAGATATCAAAAATATCAAAATACTCATCAAGAAATGCATTAATTAGTAACCACTTTTGAATTCAGTATACAAAATTACGGAAAACAGGAATTTTTTTAAATGCTGATGTGATGGTTTAATATTATACACCCAGGAGGCTCTACCTGTGTTGTAAGGCTGTGCAATTTTCTGTTGGGATGTTGCTAATGAGTCCTATAATGGCCTCGGGTAGTTAAACTACTCCAGGACTTCCATGTATTAAAACATGTTCTTTTATTCTTCACTTTTATTCCCTTACAAAATATTTATGAAAATACCTTTAAAATATGAATTAAAGTGAAAAATATGAAATAAATAGAACACGTTTGAGAACTCAACACTAAGGAAATGGAATTGTTTAAAAAAATATTATAATTTATAATTTTCAAAATTTGATGGGATGCCTGTATATTATAAATGTTTTACTCAGGGTTAAAGGTTATCAATAATTTCTTTTCAAGTGTCAGTCTAAATGTGTTTATTCTATTGCAATCATGCTTTTGATATATAAGAGTTTTTACTGCAATTGATCTTTAGAAATTACATGTACCTTGTAAATGACATAGAGTGAAAGTTTTACCAAACACAATTGTTAAACAAATCACCATCTAACCATTTAATCAACCAGGTCATTCAGCTTGTAAAAACATTTTCATGCAACATATGTCACAACAAATAGGGTTTGGTAAAATATATGTTTGAAACATATTTTGTTAAGTTTTCATTTTTGAATTCTGCTTAAAGGAAGTCCCTCCCCCTGGTGCCTATGAGGTCAATGAATCGTACCAGAATTCACAGGCAAAGAAAACAACAGGAAAACCACGCACGAAAGAAGCAGCCAATAAGCAAGGAGCTTTCTTACAATCTGCATCACGATTTGTTCCCCCACGTGATGTCATCAATGAAACATCTGACCCAGCAAATCCAGGTCGGTGAAAGTGTACTTTATAGATTTTTGAGCACACATGACATGAGATGTCACTTCACCACAAAAGATGGTCGTCTATTTTCAAATCATCAATACCAAGCATTCATATATCTAAAGTTATTAAGTACATTCATGTGTCATTCCTTATTAGCCGTGAATGTTTGAAACAAAAGAAGTCAACAGTCTTTTTCAGCTAAGACAATAGCTTTCATAACCGTCATGTGCATTATGTATTGATTGAAAAAATTTGCCTCACCATGTGACACAACGGCAATATAAATATTAGCGAGAAAAGTATTAAGTCTGATGCAGTGTGTTTAGAGTAGTGAATTGTTTGATCAGTTTTGTCTGCCTTTCGATTTTCACTTGGGTTGCAAAATGCCATATTAGGCAAACATGACTATTAATGAAAGTTGTTGCTTTATTTAATGGCTGTTTTTTATCTGTCAATGTGCCCTTCTTTTTGAAATAATAATCAAAGAATATTTCATTAAACAAACATGCACTGAAAATGTATGCTTTCAGTCCATTATCGTAACACTATCCCCACTTTAAAAAATGCTGTCCTCGAATTTTCCACAAAGATTAACGAAAAATTAAAAGAATTAGAAATTTGATAATGAAGAACAAAAGATGTCCAACTCGGATTAAGTATGAGTCTAAGGAAACTAAAATTGATCTTATGTTTAAAGAATTGATTCCTACTGAACCAGATGGCAAAACTCTATCTCCTTAGCGTCTCTAAAGGAAGGAAAACTTAGCTCACTTCAATGTAATAATTTTTGAGCACTTTAGATAATATTTGTTAAATCTCATCTTTCAACTTGTTAATGTTAAAGCTTGATACTCTAACCGATTCTGATTTAGAGAACACATGCAACATTGATATATGAATTATTTATTTTGGGAACTTTCAATTGTAGTTATCTAATAATTAAAGTAATTATCATTATCTATGTCTTTCAGATTCTCTATATAAATTATTAATAGCTTCTGTCACCACATTGTGTTGAAATCCTATTAACAAAGTATTGTCTTAATTCACAATTATTTATACATTAATCAAAACAAGAATGATTATAGCGAGTTTCTGGTTTTGAAAAGTTGTTTGTTTCGTGTTTTTTAAATGTCATCAAAATATATCGGTGATGCATGTGACATGGATGTGACAATTGGTTGTATCAGAAACGCTAACATTTCATTAGCAAAAAGCTATCTGTTTGTTAAACGTGGTAAATGTGGTTGAGAATATTGACAAAGAGATTTCCATATTGTGACATCATAATCATTTTATTTTAACTTCTGGGCATTAAGATCTTGCCTCTTTTTGATTTCAATTATTTTTGAAGACAATTTTTTGTAGAAAAGCGTCCATACGTGGTTGTGCCAAGACTGGTTGTGGTCTTATTCCAAGACTGAGGATTGTTTCTCAAGTACCACTAGATTCCACCACTAAATTTTCATTTTCTCAAATTCTGCCAAAAATTGGTCAAAATTTTATCATTTTCAAGTAGGTGCAAATGAAATTTGAGATATGTTGAAATATTTTGTAGACATCTTAAGCTACTGTAAAACCCGTCTAGGTGGAACACCTTTGGTACCTCCAAAAAGTGTTCCACTTGGGAGTTGTTTCATTTATAGAGGTTCATTTATCATTAAGTCAGTTGATCTTTGGACTCTGAAAGGTGTTCTTCTAACAGAGGTGTTCCACTTTACAGGTTTCATTGTATTTGAATGTCCACTTGCTTCAGCATCTTTGACTTCAAGATGGTAATAACAGTTGAAGTTTGAGCAACTTTTCTCTGACATCTGTAACATTAAATAAAATATGACTTGGACACATATAAATAATAGATATGAGTCAAATTCATAAGAGAGGGACTTAATTAGAAGTGGACAAAGGATATCTCTAACCATATGACATATTGCCCTCACTGTGATGATGTAATAGATATGGTTGGAGAAAACTTTTAAGAAAACACATACGGACATGCTGTGTTTGAATCATTTATAATTGCAATGGATGATGATGGATGTATATGTGTGTATGAGTGAGTAAGTGAATCTCTTGTTGAGTCATACACAGTGTCCCTGAAATTGTTCATGCAATATTTTCTTTTTGACAAATTAGAGATTTATGCCTGATATTTCTGTATGAATGATCAAGATATTGGGCAGAATACAGATCTCCACAGTTTCTATGATGCATCTTCTGAAAATATATTCAGCGATAATCCATTGCCCTTACTCCCTTCATTGTCTCTATTTCATTATATGGACAGATATATTCCCTTGTTTCATTATATGGTCAACAGATATATATTCCATTGTGACCTTTGATGGTATAACTGAAGGAATGCTATGAGATATATTCATATTGTCTTCATCTTTATCATTCTATGGGTTAAAGGGCTCCCTGAATTGGAAAAGACAGATCTGGGAAATATTTATTTTGACGCTGAAACCTGTTGAAGTAGAAAAGTAATAAATCTATGTGATACTACAAAGAAATATGATGCGTAGGAACCAACGATGTGAAAATACAACCCCTATGTCAAATCGTTTCTCATTTATTTGATAACCTATCAATGCTTCTGGTATATTTATCACTTTTTATCGAATATCAAAAATCGGATTCGGATCATGCTTGGAATTCTCGATTTGGAAAATGGAATAATTATTATTTCCTGAAAAGTATGTGTGGGATCATGGCACCATTTATGAAGTATGTAATTTGTATTAATTGTTCTATAACAAAGGTCAAGGCAAACTGAAGGATGTCAGGAAAGGGACATTTGTTTTCAAAACATGGATTCATGAATTCTTAACATGCACAATAAGAATAAGAATAGATTTCATAAATGAACATTTCAAATTAAAAAGTGATCAGCTATAAAAATTGAATGCCATAAAAATCATGTTGAGTAACAAATATACATGTTTACAGATCATATTAGTTAATTGAACATATAAATGATACTGGGTTACCAAAGAATTTAATTTGCAAAATTACAATTTTTATGTGTAAGCAGTATGACCAGAGATATTTACAGAACATGATGCTTTCCTGGAGCTACTCTGATTATGTGAAATGAAGCATTGCTTGTGGCAGTGAGCCGGAATAACTGTTGACTGATCACTTTCCACAAAATGACATTTATAGCAATTGCTGGTATTTTATCCAGTTTTATTGTGATTGTTACCTACATTTTCGGCAGATTGCATATTTGACAACTGAACTAACTGGCATCTTTTTGGATGTAAGATATCTATCTGTAAGTTATCCCTGATTCTGAATGAATCATTTAGTGTCAAAGGACCCTAGCTTGATATATGTTGTAGGCCTTTGCATTCTTAAAACATTATCCATATTAATTCTGATTTTGCATCCAAACTCTCTGCCAACCCCCTCCCCATGAAATATTTCCCTTTGTAGGTTTTGGAGGTATACAAGAGCTAGATGCAAGACTATATCGATTATTTAACTTTTTGAAATATTGTTTTTTCTGTTCCTAGGTCCAGGAAGTTATGACTTTGACTCTCGCCTGAACAAGAAGGGAGGACTGATGGTCACCAAGGACAACAGGTTCAAAGAGAAGATCAATGATATGCCAGGACCAGGAACATATGAGGTAGCTACGAAACATCATGTTTAACATTGTCCATGGATTGATGGGCTTTTTGACTTTTTTGATATTTGTGGGATCATGGGCTATTTCCTGAGGTGTTTGTTATTGTAATATTGTGTTGGGGGTCGATTCCACAGTAGGTTATTTTGGTGTGGTGTTGTTTTCTGTTTTTATATTGTTGCAAGTCTTAGCTGACTTTTTCTAAATATTGCCTTGGTAACCAAATATCAATCCTATATTGACCAATGGCCATCTAGTCTTTTTGTCTGTAGGAATGCTGAGATTTGATTTCATATTGTGAGTTATCCCGACTGATTTGGTCTATATTCTCATTTCCTTGAATCTGATTGGTCAATTAGGTCACATGGTATCCTTGAGAGCCCAGAGGAAGGACACCTCCTTCAGATTCAAGTCATTACTTTTTCCCTCGAGATTTCCGATTTCAGGATTATGCATTGTCATATTTTCAGATCACATGCATGTCAAATGTTCAATAAATTGCATTTTAATTACAGCCATCTCAGTAATCACATTTTAATTAGGTCATTGATTAGGCCAGATCCTTGGTCACAATCTTGCGATCACTGAGTGATTATATTGTGAAAGTTCCCAAACCAGCGAGTGACCGAATATGGTAATATGTTTTTTGATCCTTGATGTTGATCGCGAAAATCATGTCAGCCACAATTTACCGTGACAAGCAACACCTAATATCAAGTGCTACATACAAACTTTGATGCAAATTATTTCAAGTGACCTTGTATATCGCTCCATTAATATGTGTCCAATTTGATGTGAAATTACATCCCTCAACTACTCACATGAACAGATAATATTTCGAAAAGTTAATGAACATTCAGTGATAGAAATCTCAATTTCCCACCAAAACAAAAATAATTTGTTCTTGGTTTATTCCCATGCAGCACATTGTGCTCATTTCTGAAACTCCATGAATTAATCGAATTCAATTTTCTGTTATCAATCTAAGCTTAACTGAAGAAAATCCTAGGTTTAGGGTATGGGACTTTTAGTTCAGATGTAATCCTCAAAATATTGTTGCGATTATAACATCAAAAGATTGATAATCTGCTATTGGGACTAACATACCATATAAAACAACTCCAAATTTACAATTTAATAAATCATTATAAATATCTGCCTTAACTAGACAGCTATAAATCAGACACACGCTGATAAAACTCAATACGTAGCTGATAAAATGCTTTGTAGAATTTATACCATAAATAAGTATAATAATATCAAACAAGTGTTCCTTGGAGAGTTATAATCAATGTCATTTGAAACAAGAATTTTGATATATTCCGTATCAGCAATTTGTCTAGTTGGCGTTTATTAATCTTGCGACGTGACACCTCAAGTGGCACCCTGGGATATGTTTTAGTCCGGGTAAATCAGTCGGGGAAATCAAAAGTCAATTTGAGATCAATAGTGACTTACTGTAACTTAACAAGTATATGTCTGGTGTCAGACTTATGGAGACTTTGTCATTGTTTTATTTTGACCAGCTATTCAACTGTTTATTTGTTGCAATAATGACATTAATAGCATGGCTATCCAGGGATTCAATGCAAGACTAATGGCCTGTTTTTGTTTCTGATGGTATTTAGTATTGATGAATATCTTTTTGTGGTATTACCTAGTGAGCTTTTGGAATATTTACTTTTTTCATTCTGATACTCATCACACCTTTCTGTTTCACTCAACATTGAGAAGAAATGAGAAATTTTGTAAAGCAATTTTCCAAACAAGCACATGATCAGTCAAACAACAAAATGTTTATTCCCAAAATAAATGAATTTTCTGAGATAAGTACAACAGAGAAAGACTCAGTGTTAATCTAACTGACCAAATGTTTTATTTCTACAAATGTAATAAATCGAGCATTCAGAAATTGTAATTGCAATAAAAACTCCAGATCTAATGGTTCTCATAAAGGGATATCTCTAACATTAAATGCCATATTAAACATTAAACATTTTACTTATCATGTTCTAGTAATTGGGGACAAGTAAACCCTGCTAAATCTGTTTACTTGGTATAATAGATATTGCCTCTATGGAATCATTAGGACATATTCAACATACATAAATGTAATAACTCAATATTGGGTTCCTTAACTCCATTTTCACATTTGGCAAATGTAGGGTTATACATACTAAGTGGAAAATCACTCTCTGATCCCGGGGTTCTGATCCATAGATCTGCTTATGGGAAGGACATTTTGAGGACCATCCTTATTTTCTTGTAACAATCACAAAGCATTCATTCTGAACAAAAAAGCTTTTGCAGCATTTAACATAATTGTTATTTTTTTTTATTTATTATCAACCTTTGCCAAACTTTAATGCATTGGGCACTCAATGTATTGATTAAGTTAGGCATTCAGTTGATGGTTCAATTTTTCATTGAATGGTTGTTTAATCAGCTAATTAACTGTTTTCTATGACGGGACTTATTGGGCGAGTAATTTATCTCATATTGTGTCTGAATTGGTCCATTAAAAGATAGTTAATTAGACATCTCAATATTGATGCGCTTTCTGATGACACTTAAGCTCAGAGAAAAAACATCAATTCACGGTCATTTTGACCTTTATACTGGAAAAGAACAATTTGTTAGTTATATTTATAAATTAGATTACTATTCAATATTTATTGGTTGTATTGGAACAATAAAAATAATGCCAAGTCATATCCTCCCCTTTGATGACTTTTTATCGTACCTTAAAAAAGGTTTTACCCATCTTGTGCTTTGTTTTGTTTTCTCTTGAAAGCCCATGATTGAACCAAACTTAAAACACATTTCAAAGCTATGTATTCTTTGATGTCTGCTACTATAGAAAATCGGTAATATGGAATATGAAATTTTCTTTAGGTCTGGAAAACAACAGTTTGTGAACTATTCAGTTTAAACAGTCCCCGTCCCCCCCCACACTTTCACATGAGTCTGTTAAATAATTTCTATTTCTGCAGCTCTCGATTAGAATAAAGTAATAATTCCTATACCATGTAGAATTTAGAGTATTATATTCAGAGAGAATTCCTCGACTCCCGATTCCCGAGGGACACGCATTGTTCATTGGTGTAATTAAACCCTGCATTAAGTACCAGTTGAATCCTGTAAAAGCCCATGTCCATATCTATTCATTAGACGTAAAACAATCCATGAATCAGGGACCTACTAAACAGATCGGAAATGGAAAGCTTTAATACTTGAATCTACTGTTGGACTAATTTGCCTTTGAAATGTTTTTGTGATCTGGGGACTGACTCTATCATATGTTGTTTTAGAAATTCAAAAGTGATATTTTGAAATTATTGATTTACAGCATTGTGTTGGGACTTGATCTAGGTAGTTCTTAATATGGAGTTATTTTTAGGAAACAGCTTTGTTAGCTATGGTTTATTGGGCTTTAATTTTGACTTATGTATTGTAATTTTCCCTGTTTGCATTAATGCCATTAATGTCCCTTTTTGCATAACGGATGGCGATTTGTGTTAGCAGTATTGTGTTGAAATGGTCCCTACATCTTGTCACTGTGCCTTATTGAACAACGCTCATACTGATTAATAACTCTAGTCAAGCAAAATCTTGCTCGGAATCTCATAAGAATGTACGAACATACAACTTCCTTGTATTTTCCAACTAGAAATAATAAAACATGAAAGTGATATAAGGGCGGTTGTGAAAAAGTCATTCAGTGTAATCCAGTAGGGTTGGAATTATGTCCCCCTCCCTCTCATAGTGTTATACACATTGTTCTACCAGAGTATCACAATGCCAAACATAGACATCCTCATTATTCTGCGTTATGGTAAGAGTTTGTTCGACAATTATTGGAACTACATGAGCATTGTACTGACAATGCAAGGAGAATTTGTTTGGAGAATTAGTTGCTCCTGGTGGAGAACTTGTCTGATGCTGAAGGAGAAACTGCTAGGAGAATATTCAAATGACAATAAATAAGATCATCTGTCCTTTGTATGCAGTTTGTATTTATTTGGTCTACATATGCTGCTCTGTGTTAAAATGATTGCATTCTATATAGACCACAGTGATTTTCTATTAAGAGAACCCCCTGGTTGAGGGTTCGCATTAAGATTTTAAAGCTTGGTGGTACGGCTGCTCTTCTTCTATCATTTCTTTTAGTTTCACCTGTTTCCATGTTGTTGACTCAAGACATAACATGCTAACATGGCATGGTATAATATTTCTTGCATGCGTGACCGAGTCACTATTTAACTCTGTTACACTCAATATTTCCTTCTCTATTTTCAGTATTCACCACTCATTCAAGATACAGTTCTGAAGGGAACATTTAATGCAACTTTGAACAACCCAGTCGCACCTAAAGTTGAAGTGAGTCAAGCAGCGGCCGCCACAGGACCTCATGCCTTCCTTCTGGGAACATAAGACATTAATCTCCTCCACAGAAGAGCTTCTCCCTCCACCCAGGAGAGCTCCAACTCTCATGGATCACATCTCATATCTTGTAAATAATCTCATAGACATCATATCTATAAATGTGAATATCCTTTAGGAGCTAATAGGCCTAAGCAATACAATAGAGTCAATATCTGATAAAAATAACTATGATTTAGACCTATTAGGTCCAAACGGATTGGGTGAGTCACGTTTTATCATCCAATACTTTGTATAAATTGTACAGCATGAACGTTTTAGTAGAAATCAAAAATTCAGCAGAAGTTGTATGTGTATCAACTCCAGCGCAAATGGCTCGTATTTTATTGAGATTGAAATGGTATCTTTGATTCAATCTTCAGGGGCCAACTGTTGTTTCATTCTATCGTTTATATTCATCGTTTACCAAGGATTAGGACCAGTTGCTGCTGGATCACCATTGAGCATTAAAGTTAAGTCTGTCTTGAAATCAACCATCTACTTAATATAAAAATCCTCCAACTTGCTTGTAGTGTGTTCTTTTTTAGCTCGCGTGGTTTTGCAATCTATTGCAATCACCCACTTGTCTCAGTTTTAGATGATGTTGTATCAATTTTTAATGCTCATTTAACTTTCATGTTTTCAATAACTCTCATAAAAGTCAAGTCTAAATGCATCAGTAAAACATACAGAACAGTATATGGCTGACCATTTCAATTTTCAAAAATGCTCTGAGTTTACATTACTGGGAGTAATGTGAATTTGCAACACTTGGGTCAGCTGTAAGCTCCTCAGTCAAAGAGTGCTTTGGCTCCAAGAAAATCCACTTTTTTATCAGTATCAGTATTTAGCCCTGTGTACCTTTTAAAATAATCTTTATGTTTGGCCAAACAAAATCAAGTAAATCAGAATTATCAACAACTAAACAAGGTTAAGATTCCACTTATCTTTCCTCCAAAAAAATTCTTAAAGACTAAACCTCAACATTCTGGTTTACAATTCTCTTTATCTAATGCTTTTGAGGGACTCCTGTGATACTACTGGCTGTAGATACCACAATGAGGGTTCTAAACAAATTAGAATAAACAGAGAAATATTTCAGCAAAATAATTGCATTTAGAGATGCAAATATGAGAGAAGCCAACAATTACTGAACAACCCCCATGCAAAGTTTTTTTTACATCATAGACATAATTGTGGTTGTATGCCATTGCTGATTAGTTCAAAAGAAACCTAAAACATTTTCCTGACATTTGTTATACAATAAAGCTCCGTGTGCTGAAAACCACGCTATCTAAAACCCTAATTTTTACTGACAGATGTATATTACCATACGTTCCTCCCCAAACTTTTTAAAACAAAGGCTCACATTGAAAATCAATATAGAGTTTATGTAGACTTGTTTTGTTTTCAAGTTCAAGTTTATTTTCAAGTTTAGCTGTCTTTTATTTTAAATCGTTCTTGATGAACCTTGCTTATTGTGTTTTTATTTCCATATGTGCCTTTCTCAGCTTCAGTGGATGATTTCAAAAGTGCAATGCATATTCTTTGTCCAACAATCTCCAGGCCCGTAGCCAGCTTTTGCCAAGGGGGCTTCACTTTATCAGAAAAAATCCAGGGGGGTTTACTTTGACAAATTTGGCCCAAAAGCTCATAGCCAGGGGGGGCTATGGGCCTGATCTCAAATGGAACAAGTTGTTTTCAATTGTTGCATCTGATCTCTGTTTACAAGAATGACAATCAAATTATGGGGACTATATCTCTCACAAGGTCTTTGATTTAGATGTTTCATTTGAATTATAAGCGGAAATTATAGCAGAGTTTGATCATTATCTTTAATTGATTTGAGAATGATGAGACCCTCTTTCTTTTGATTGCTGTAAAAATGATCAAGAAATTGATAAAAAATACAATTTTCACAAAGGGCAAAAATGAAATGATGATTTTCATTTGGGATTGGCTTGGTCAAAGATTATTCAATTTGCATCTGCAAAACAAATAAGAATAGGAATAATTGCTTGGTCTCAATAGAGCCTAATAGATGTTTGATTGATTTCGTTATTTCTAAGGATACGCAAGTAATTGCCAATAACTTAACTCCGGCAATTACTATATGGCATCCTCCTACTGTTCAGGGTCTCCTAGAACCAGGAACAGCTATCAATCACCATTGTTCCCGATATTTCCCTTGTGTTTCTCGCTGTAATATTCTCCAAATGTAATTGTATGGGGTCAAGAAAAGTGAATGGTCAAGTCATTTAGACTTATGTGTCTTATGTTTTCAAGATATTAATATATACATGTATATTACATACATATACTTTATATATTTGAACTTTTTCTGTGAGTTTCCTGTCAGCTATTTGCAGTTTATAAATAGACAACACAGATAATAAAATCAATATGGGTGAGTTAATTTAAGGTAATTTTGTAATTTTTTTATCTATGTTTCCTCTCGATGAAATTATACACATACACTTCTGCTGAAACTCTGTATAGAAATATTTAACATTTACAGGGTGTCCCATTATGATAGACATATTTTTGTTAAACCCTGTATGTAATATTGTAACATAAAGCAGTCTAAGATGTACTAGTTATTGTATATAAATAAGTGCATCAGTGCAGTAGATGAATACAATGAAGTATAGTACCTATAAAGCATTATAAATACTTTTACATAACTGTGTGATCGTGAAACCTGCTGATTTTGATGCAGTGAATGGATGACACTTACAGTACAAAATTAACTTTGCACTTATAGACCTCATACATGTTTGATTTTGTACTGTACTGCATACAACAATCTGATTCCATAATAATTTCTGTGATAAACCGAAACCGTCCAATTTTCATATTATTTCTCATGAAGAAGCAGACTATGTATAAAGTATATATTACCAAATGATATGTGATATCTTATTTGAATACTGCATTGTATTTTGTAGATTTTTAAAATGATCAGTATTACATATCTGTTAAACAATAAGTTTGTATACAGTGTATATTAGGACTGCTGTTAAAGCAACTTGTGATACATAATAAAATTACATTTATACACATAAATTGAATTTTTAAGTTATAGTTTTTGAATTGAGGAAAGAGTGTTATGCCTTATTATGGCAGTATATATATTATGTCACCACCAGATTGGTGACATATTGTTATAGTCTCCAACTTTCTTTTGGATGGTGTTCAGCGTTTGGTGTTCAGAATTTGGTGCCTGGTGTTTGGTATCTGTAACAAATGGCAGGTGGTGACATTTTGCATGTCCATGCCTTGTGTAAACATGTGAAGTAAAACCTAAGATGTCTATTGATTAAGTGTGTAACCTTAAGGTGGGCATGTATAATGATTAATGCTGATGAACAAGGCACTCTTACACATATGATTGCACATAAAGAAGTCCACTAAAGTCTACCTTAATCAATTAGGCAATATCAAGCTCAATTCATGCTGTTCACTTGTCTTATTCTACAACCAGATAACTACGGAACTTTGAAAACAGAAATATGTGATGATGAGGTACACAGTATATACAGGGTGTCCAATAAAGTGTCCATTCATTATTTACAGAACATCTTGTATTGGTACTTTTGTCATTATTTTTGTTTTATTTAAACAATGCATACACCATCATGATGCAACTTCATCAACTCATGTTTTGATTCACGGGGTTTCAGTTTGACCAACTTCATATAACTACCTTGGAAGGAGATGAGATGCCCTAGCTCTGATGAGTTGTACTGTGTTATGACTTACATACAAGGCCCCAAACTCTCAGATATATAAATGAAGGCCTACATAACAGGTGGGGTTCATTGACCTCCCTTGGAAAAATGGGAAGAAAACTGATGACATGCTAAATCCTAATGACAGTTATGCAGGTGGAACAGTATACAGTCACCTGCACAACCCTTCCCAAACATGACTATTGGACCATGTTAATGAATAAAAGAGAAGAAAGATTTCTGACTTCTGTGCATTAAACTGTAGAGAAACTACACCTCCATTGGTCACCTGTCACATGATTACCAAAATCAATAAAATAATTAACGTAATCATTTCATTATTTTTGTATCATCATCGAGAATCTCATGTAACAAAGCCTGTGTTAATTTAGATTATACAATATTTATGCCCAATTTCATATAATGCTGTAGCACCATAATGATAATAATCAAACTAGATATAATTTTCTCTGTGGGATTTAGAGATTAGAAATGGAAATACATGTTCACAATCAAATTTCATTATGAAAGAACATAGAACTATCCTTTCATTTCTTCTCAATTCTAAGATGTTTTTGCTAGTGCAATAGAAAACGTGCTGGGTTCAGGGTTGCGAGGGACACCCCCCCCCTGAACAAATACAGTTTTCACCATTCTGAGAACTTCTCAAGCGATTTTGGGTAAAATGTTAACCCCTGTAATTTTTTTAAATGTGAACTCCCTCCTTTGGTAAATGCTGGTTACTGGTATTGAAAATTAAAGAACTCAGAGTGCTTAATTTTTACAATTTCATTCATCAGGTTTACAAATGATTCTATTTTAATAGTAGATTTGTATTTTTAGCTGATAATTCAGAGATATGCAAAGATTGTGGTTTTTGTAATTTCATTTCTTGCATAATCTCTTCCATTAAAACATATGCTCCCATTTCCCCAATGGAATCCACTCACTCAGATATCAGATCTTGAAAATTAATCTGATCTGGAGTTATATATCATTCCATTTGAATTATGGCTTTTTCTATTCTGAATTCTCATTGAACCGACAGTTCTTGGCTATTTCCAGCCAAACAATCATTCTTATAGGATTTCCTATTAATTCCTGACCAATAGGTTGTCATTTAATCCAAATATGGTAAACAGTGTTGATTAATCGTTATGAATTCAACATTAACTTTTGATCGGCATTCATGAGGAACATTCGGGACAATACTATCGTACAATACTTCAGGATTTGAGATATTCTGTATTATTTGATGTCGATTGGTAAGACATATGATTATGAATGTTGAAGGTCAGAAACTTAGAATTTTCTAAGTTTCCATGGTTACTAGTAATTCTTAAATTGCGTCCATATTTGTGGAGGGTACTTTAAATATTGGCTGTGGTCATAAATCAGTTTTTTACATCAGAACTAATCTTTTATCAAGTATAGGAATTCCTATAGTGACTTGAAAGGTTTTTTATGAGATTCATTTGTAGTAGAGTAGCATTAGATGCCATGCAACAAGTGAATGCTATCTGTAACATTTATACATTAAATCATAAAATCAAACAAAAATGTAAACTTACCATGAACAAATAAAATCAGAACTCATTTGGCTATTGTTAATTTGTTTTTGATACATTATTCTAACATATTTTTGAAGCTACATTGAAGTCTTATTGAATAAACCCATTTAACGCTGCCACCTATTGGAACCCATGCAAAGCTGAAGCCTTTAGGTGGTATAAAGTAAACATTTCAATTAGCGTACATATATTATGTTGACAGATGTCAAAACTACTTGGTTTCCTATTTACAGGGTGACTATGGCTTTAAGTTTGGATTATGTGGGGGATAACCAAGGATTATCCCC